CTTTCATACCTAAGCGACACAAGGCCTGAGTTAACACCAAATGACCACTCACTTTACACATCAAGACATGATATTTCATGACATAACCCATGAACTATCATTGGAGAATTAAAAATTTTTGGAAAGAGATTTTGCTCTCTGTTGACCAGTATTGACAGGAAAATCAAGAGATGTAAAGGAACATCCATAGGCCTCAGTCTTCTTCAAAGATGTGTCAGATCCTGTCATGAGTGTCTAAGGTGGGTGAATTGTGCACACAGAACTTCATTCATAAGCTAAGCATTGGTGCCGGCCATGGTATTCCTATCTGAGCAGTAAGATGGTTCTCCTACAAGTCTCCAGATGGGTTTCATAGCACTGAGTCCTGTGGACTGCTCATTGCATAGCTCTCTGTCTCACTCAGCCTCTATGGGGCCAGTGCTGGAGAAGGATTAAGGCTGAAGATTGTGGGGTTACACGGCAGAGGCTGTTGATGGCTGTGTGACTATCAGCTGACAATCCCGTGCAGTCAGTTGCTGCACTCCTATGCTATTTTTTAAGTGTTTTTTATTTATCTGAAAGGCAGAGTTACAGGGGCTGGCGCCATGGCTCACTTGTTTAATCCTCTGCATGCGGCACTGGCATCCCAAATGGGCACCGCGGTCTAGTCCCTGTTGCTCCTCTTCCAGTCCAGCTCTCTGCTGTGGCTGGGAAGGCAGTGGAGAATGGCCCTAGTGCCTGGGCCCCTGCACCCACATGGGAGACCAGGAAAAAAGCACCTGGCTCCTGGCTTCGGATCGGCACAGCGCCGGCCCTGGCAGCCATTTGGGGACTGAACCAATGGGAGGAAGACGTTTCTCTCTGTCTCTCTTGCTCACTGTCTGTAACTCTATCTGTCAAATAAATTGAAAAAAAAGTCAAAGAACCATTATATTCATTGACATTTAAAAAAAGAAAAAGAAATGCAGAGTTACAGAGAGGCAGAGGCTGAGACAGAAATGTCTTCCATCAACTGGTTCACTCCCCAGATGGTTGCAATGGCCAGAGCTGTGCTGATTCAAAGGCAGGAGCCAGGAGCTTCTTCCTGGTCTTCCACATGGGTGCAGGGGCCCAAGGATTTGGGCCATCTTCTACTGCTTTCCCAGGCCACAGCAGAGAGCTGGATTGGAAGAGAAGCAGCCGAGACTCAAATTGGCGCCCATATGGAATGCTGGCATTGTAGGCAGCAGCTCTACATGCTACGCCGTGTCGAAGGCCCCACCCCCCATTTTTATGATGCTAATTTTTCAGATGAATTAAGTGCCAACAAGAAAAAGATGCACCAATATTTTGAAAAAAAATTTCTGTGACTGTAATTGGCCAAGCAAATTTGTTGCATTTTTAAATCTGATATTATCTTCACTTGTTTTGCATCTACACATTGGCCTTGGCTATAAATTCCCCTAAGGTGAGGGACATTGATCATGTTCTGTAATTGTGCTAATAACCAAGCAGACTTAAATCCACACCAGGGTTACAGAAAGGAATTCACAACTATCGACATAGTAAGTGTTTGGTGGCATAAAATAATGATACATTTTACAATCATCAGAAATGACACAACACAGAATCCACTAACAAAAGACAAATTAAAGAGAGAAGAGCATACAAAATTTATTACATCACATGTTGACACAACATGGTAGATTTTAGAAATGAAGACTTAAAAACCCAGAGAAAACTCTGCTTTTACATTGAGATTCAATGAAGAAAGGACAGCTTTGTAGAAGCGTGGTTGAACAGGGAAGTGTGATCTATGTTGAATATGTGTGATCTAGTTGAACATAAAAGTGTGAACCCGTGCTGTGACACAACTGGTTAAAGCTTGGCCTGCAGCACTGCTGTCCCACATGGGTGCCGGTTCAAGTCCTGGCTGCTCCCCTTCTGATCCAGCTCCCTGATAATGTGCCTGCGAAAGCAATAGAAGATAACCCAAGTTCTTGGGCCCCTGCACCTATGTGGGAGACCCAAAAGAAGCTCCAGGCTCCTGGTTTTGGCCTGGCACAACCCTGGTTGTTGCAGCCATTTGGAGAGCAAATCAGCGTGTGGAAGAACTCTCTCTCTCTCTCTCTGTCTCTTTCTCCCTCTGTAACTCTGCTTTCCAAATAAATATATCTTAAAAAAAAAATGTGATCTACGGTAATAGCTTGACGAAATAAGTCAGCACGGCTTGTCTGTTCAGTTCCTTGGTCTGTGTGTGTAGCATTCTGTCCTCCTGGGTAGAGTAGGACCCCGTGGAATGACAGCCTACCAGGTAGAAGGGAGAAGGGAGAGAATGAGATTTGCAGGTTTGGGGACTTGCATTGCGATACAGTGGTTTAGTTTCCATGACCTTCCTTGGAGAAGAGGAATTCTGCTTTCTGTATTTCTGTTCATTGTGGGAAGAAAATGAGGAGACAGAAGCCCAGGAGAAGACCTCGAGAGACTTTGCTTTCGACGCTGTTTCTGAAGCCTTCCAGGGTATTTAGAACAAAGACCTCAGCATACAAATGCTCGGTACTGCAGTGTTCCATTTTCTAAGCTCCAATATTCCTGATCGTGGAACCTTTGGGTAAGTTTCACTATTTTCTGCCACACTAATCACAATAGCCAAGACTACAATTAACTTAAGTGTCCATCCTTAGGGTATCATTGATTGGTCCCCAACAGGAGAGATGCAGGACAAATGCCCCAGCATGCAGAGTGCTTCCCAGTGTACTCTATCTGTATCCCAAACCCCCAACCATCATGCAGTGGTCCCCTTGTGAATTTCCATCGATTCTCATGCTAGCTTTGTGTGGTGAGAATTGATGCTCAGGGGAAGAGGGCAGAACCAAGATGTTAAGCAAAGCCAGGAACCAAGGGCAGACACAGTCATACCATACATATGTGGGGAGAGCGGCAGCCTGTTCCTTCCATCTGGTCAAGCTCACTTCATCAAGATTCGTCTCCTAAGAGCCAGCATCTCTGTAGGCCCAGAGCTCAGCACCTACACACGTGTGAGGGATGGACACTCCTCACATCTGACCAAGAGACTGTATGTGTGTGTTAGGGCCACCACGAAGTGCTGCATGCTGGAGCCAAGGAGCACTCTGGAGCTTGGGAGTCCAACAGTTGAGGTGCAAGAAGTTTGCTTTTCTGAGGACTCAGCCCTTAGCCTGTAGACGATTGTATGCTCCTTTCTGTGTCTTCACATGGTCCTCCCTTGATGTGTATACACGTCCCATTTCCTCTTCTTAGAAGGAATCAGGCCTTGGATCACAGCCCCCCATAGCAACCTCCTTCTAACTTAATCACCCCTTAAAAGCCCTATCTCACAATACTATCACACACTGAGTTACTGGGACTTATAACATAAGCATATCAATAAGTGAGATTGCTGGTGACCTGTGCTCACTTCTACATGCTTTTTGTTTTTCCAGTAGTCATTATAGATTTGCACTTAAATTCTATTCCATTTTACTTTGTCACCTCTTTAATGGAAGAATTGTGTCCTAGAATCTGCCAATAGCACTCAGCACCACGCCTGGCACAGCAGTGTTCAGTGAACGTGGCTGGTGCTCTGTTGTAAATCTAGGGCATCCCTCCCAGGTGACCAGCTGTCCCAGGGTGATAAGGTGAGCCTCTGCCCCAAACTCCCCTCCTTGCCTGCCTCTGACACCTGGTGACATTCAGCTGCCCCAGTGAAATCTCCTTCTGCCTGTGGTGGGTGTCCTCCACCCTGACCCCATGGGAGCCCTGGGCCTTGCTCACTCTCTTCTCTCTGCCTGTCTGGGGGGCCTGCTCTCTTGATGCTTGCTCCCTCACCCTCAGGATCCATAGTTGCCTCATCTCTGAGTGTTTGTGTAGAGACAGCTTTGCTGCCCTGAGCCTCTGCTCTCCTCCTCCTGTGCCCACACCTGACTGAGCATCTCATGAGCCAGCACATCGGGGCCCTCTTCAGCTGGGATCTGTTTTTATCCCCAGTCCATGTGTACACTGACTGGGAGTCCCCACCGTCCCCCTACCTGTGGCCTCCAGTTCCACGGACTGCAAACAAGATTCATTTCTAGGAGCAGGACAAGGAGAACCAGAGTGTTGGTGGCTGGGAGGGGCAGCACAGCCAAGAACTCCACCCATCACCACTGACCACAGTGTGGACTCGGATTCCAGGGGTCTTGGGCTCCTTCCCTTAGCTAGGGTGAGTGAGCTGGGGCTTGGACCCTGCCCCTCCCTCCTGCTGAGACAGCCCCTGAGGGCAGATACAGTCCAGGGTATGCTGTTGTATCAGCAGTCCCTGTTGTATACAACCCTTTTCTCAGCCTCTGCTGCCTTTGGGAGTGACCTCAGTGATGAGGCTGTGGCCACCGTGATCAACGTGCTGTAGAAGAAGGCCCTAGAAGTGGACAGAGGTGACAATTACAAATGGCAAGCCTCTGAACCTGTGGGATCTGCACAAGTACTCATGCACCAGCTCTCTGCAGCTCTGACCTGATCAAGAGAACAGTTTGGGAGAAGTTCGTGCTTATGATATTCAAGTGCAAGTTAGGCTTTGTCCCCAGTCCCTTCCTTCTTGACAACCCAGCAGTGACTTCATCATCACTACTCTATGTCAATCGTAAAATACTTAGTCTCCATTTCTCTATCGATTACACATGTATATTCCAGGCTTTATATTTTGGGATAAAACTCATTTTTGCCCATAGAGAGACAGTATAAGACTGGAAAAAGTAAAAGAGACAACATTTTGAGGTTGATGTGTTTAATTTATTAGGTTAAGGATTACTTTGTGTACACAGATACACCAATGCATTGGTAAGAACAGGACATGGATTAATAGAAAGTGAGAGACATTTGAAGAAGGTCTGACATACGTATCTTGACTGCCTTTGTGGGCAGGCATGATTTGAGCAGTAATTAACACAAGGCTGCCCATTTCTTACTTTAAGTGGTTTAGGTTCAATGCCGGCACGATCATGAAAATTCCAGAAATGTGAGATTCCCGTGGGTGGTGATGAGCTCAGCTCATCCATGTGACCTGCAAGTCAAGAGGAGCAGACGGAAAGGGAAGAAGCTTACCTAGAGCAGTTACCTGCCACAGCTGCCCGGGGGCCAGGGTGGTCCGCCTAGCAGCAGCATTGCTTCTGGCAGCCACACTTCTGCTGGCAGCAGCCCTTCTGCTGGCAACAGCCCTTCCCACAGCCACAGCCACAGGAGCGATGGCAACAGGTGCGGCGGTAGCAGCACACAGTGGGGCAGCAGCAGCAACCACAGCAGCTCCCACAGCAGCCACCACAGCAGCCACCACAGCTGCCACAGCTGCCACAGCTGCCACAGCCACCGCAGCTGCCACAGCCACCACAGCTGCCACAGCCACCACAGCCGCCACAGCCGCCACAACCACCACAGCCACAGCACCCCATGGTGTCAGTCGAGAGGACTCAGTGCAGTGAGGAGAGAGGAGTCGGGAGAGGTCAGGAAGGTCTGATGCCCCTGCTCTGGGGGAGGCCCTTATATACCAGCTCTGGGGACAGGAGACTGAAGCCTCATGACCCATTCCTTGTTGCTCTTGACTCAAACCACATGGAGGACTCTCACGATGCCTTGTTTACTTCCTGTTCCGGTGTGTCTTCACCGTATTTTCAGTTTTGTTTTTCCTATAGCTTTGTTGCTGCATGAGTAATTGTTGGCTACGTGTTCTACGGAAGCCTTCTGAGAACCAGTGGAATGAAGAGGCTGCGAGCAGTAAGAGCTTCTTTCTCCTTCTTCCCACAGTGCCGAGAACAGAAGTCCACGTGTGGGACTCTGCAGAGAGCTTACAAAGCCCGGGCACCAGGCAGCATCCCCAGGACCAGAGAATCTGTGATCCTCTATCAGGAATGGGGAACTGTTTTTCCCACAACTCTATATAAATATGTATAGCATCATCCATGAGCTATCCACATTACCAACTTGAAAGTTAGTCTGTTATAAAGTTATTCAATGTTGAGTTCCACCTGTGGTTGCCAAATGAGTTCATGAGCCGTATATGCCCTGGGGGCCAGAAGTTTCCCACCCCTACAAGGGTGGGTGCCATGCAGTTTATAAGGCACAGTCCCAAAGTTAAAATGGCTGAAATAGAAAGTGACACCGGAGTCAGAGGTAGGAAAAAGTTAACAACTTCAAGTCAGAGGCTGGATGCCGTATTCCCATTGACTGAGCTGGGGCAGGAAACATCAACCTCTCTCCTTTCATCTGAAGCAAATCATTGTCATTGTTCTGCACACTCAGCCTTGACTGGTATTTCACACAGAATGATTCATCAGTGGAATACGCCCTCCGATGATGCAATCATTGGTATGTTTTGCTTTGGAGGAAGAATTAACCTTGTCTCTGAGTGGATGACAACAGTTTAGGCGCGAGAACCACACTGCGGTGCCCAGGAGCCTGAGGGAGACCCTCTAGAGAGGAGGGTGTTGGAACTCTTGGAGTGGGCAGTCTGGATACTTGGGGAAGAAGAGTCAGCGTCAGAGAGGAGGAGGTGAGCTGGGGGCAGGTCGAGGCTGGAGCACAGAGTTCACATCAAGAGGTGAAGAGAACAGCTTAAGCTTATGGTGGGAACTGCAGGCTGGTGCCAGTAAGGGGGATGCAAACATAAGGCAGGGACAGTGGTGGTTGGGGTGGGCTCTCCTCCAGACTCACTGAGGGAGGGAGCCTCTGGCAGTCCCTGAGCTCAGGGCACAGTGATCAGGATCCTTGTGGCAGAGAAGATCCTCCCCTGTTCAGGTGTAGCAGGCTCTGCACCTGAAGCCTATCTTTTCCACCAGGTTTACTGCTCTGCAGGAATGTAGCCTTGTGGACATTCAGTCCATGGCAGGGATGAGAGCCCCCAGGGAGGGGCACTGGGGGAGAGGGCCGGGCTACATAGGGAGGAAGATTCCTGTTCGTTTTTTTAACATCACATGAGTGCAGAGTCCCAAGCACTTGGACCACTCTCCACTGTTTTCCCAGGCACATTAGCAGGAAGCTGGATCTGAAGAGAAGCAGCCAGGCATTGAACCCGGCACCCATATGGAATGCCAGTGCCACAGGCCGAGACTTAACCTATAACACCACTGCTCTGGCTGCTAGAGGGGAAGACTCCTAACAGATCATTTTGGGAGCTGAGAGTGAGGAAAAACAGCATCCTTCAGTGTAAGGATCCCTGAGAAGCACAACCAGGAGCCTGCAGGTGCACAGGAAGGGAATCACCAAGGTCATGAGGGGTGAGGTTGGCCACAGCAGCTGACAGGAGCATTTTCAGAAAGAAGAAAACCACAATTTCATTTGCATATTCATTCCTTCCTTTTTCCTGTGGGGCATTCCTGTTAAAGAAGAGGTGATTTTTACTGAAGTTCTCTAGAGAAATCCCATGAGGAGGAAAGAAGGAGGAGCTGCCAGCGATCATAAGTCAGATCTGTGTTTCTGTGAAAATGAACATTCACACTGAATTGCTAGTGCCTCTTGGATCAATTCTGAAAAGGGTTTTTAAAAGAACACTTAGCATTAGAGACTGTATTGGGCCCAGTATAGTGCTTGAGGTTATAAACAGGGATGATCCAGATAAGCTTATCGGAGACCCTGAATAGCAGCCACAAGGAAGTGACCAGAGCCATGTGCTCATGCCATCCCCCTCTGATCCCAAAGTGGTATGAAAGGGCCACTCCCAGCAGGAGCAGGGGCATCAGACCTCCCTGACCTCTCCTGAGTCCTCTCTCCTCACTGCACTGAGTCCTCTCTGCTGACACCATGGGGTGCTGTGGCTGTGGTGGCTGTGGTGGCTGTGGTGGCTCTGGTGGCTGTTGTAGTTGTGGTGGCTGTGGTGGCTGTGGTAGTTGTGGTGGCTGTGGTGGCTGTGGTGGCTCTGGTGGCTGTGGTGGCTGTTGTAGTTGTGGTGGCTGTGGTGGCTGTGGTGGCTGCTGTGGATGCTGCTGTGGATGCTGCTCCCCCGTGGTGTGCTGCTACCGCCGCACCTGTTGCCGTCGCTCCTGTGGCTGTGGCGGTGGGAAGGGCTGCTGCCAGCAGAAGTGTGGCTGCCAGAAGCAGTGCTGCCACTAGGCAGATGAGCAGCCTCTTACCAGGAACTGCAGTGACAAGTATGACAAGATTGCCACTCTCCCATCCTGTCTCCTCTGCCCTCACCAAAAGGTTCCTGGGCCCTACAACACTTTCCTTAGGTTCCACATTTCCCATCTGGAAGAAGTCCACATTGATTGGAACGTTGTATGGAAAAAAGTGGAGTGCAGCCTAGCATCTGAGCACCTGTGCACATCACTGATTTCTGCTGAGGTAAACCTTGACTCGTAATCTTTGGTGTGATGGATGCTCACTCCATCCAGTTCCTCCTGTTTTCCCATCACCCCTCTGCATGCCCTGTTTCCTTACTTGTTCCTTTGTGCTCTTAGTTGTCATACAATGTTATCCAGGTCTGCTAATAAAATAAACTAGATACCCATTCGATAGGTGTCTTGTTGTCTCTGTTCTATTTGACTTCACTAAATATGGGTTTGTCTGTTCTGACAAAGCCCTGGCTTTGAAACACATGCAACACGAGCATTGTAAGCCAAGGTCACGTCAGAAACTGCACATGGGGAAGCAGCAGGTGGCCTCCAAAGTCCCCTCTCCCCCAAGCCTCCGGGTTGTGTGCGTGCTCCTCCCTGAGATTTATGGTTCTGTGATTTGATGTGTCTGACACAGGCCTTCCTCAGAAACCCCACACGCCCCAAATGACCATTTCTGTCAAGACCCAAATATAGGTGTCCCATCTGTATACCCGTTCAAGTCCTTCCTGTTCCACTCCCCATTCAGCTCCCTGCTAATGCACCTGGGAAAGCAGCAGAGGATGGTCCAAGTAAGGCTTTTGTATTCTTTGTACTTAGTGGGAACTTTGTACCCAAATGGGAGTCCCTTTAGAAGAGCATGACTCTTGGTTCTTGGGTTTGGTCTGCTCCAGTACTAGCCATTGTAGTTTTTGGGGAGTGAACTAGTGGATGGAAGGCATGTCTCTCTCTCTCTCTCTCTCTCTCTCTCTCTCTATTTCTCTCACTGTCTTGCTGCCATACGACTGAATTTCAAATACATAGAAAATAAATCTTAAAAAGAACAAAAATCAGCAGCATTTTAATATATCAAGAGTGATCTTGCTGAGAAAGAACTTGTAAGAGTAATTCCATTCAAAATAGCTCAAAAAATTAAATAACTTGGTATATTTTTATCAATATGTAAAACATTTCTATAATGACAATCACTAAATAGTAATGAAAGAAATCAAAGAAAGCACAAACACCAAAGGAAAGACTTCCTTATTACGGGTGGATGAGCAGCTTCCACTGGCTAAGATTTGGCACATTTGGGTTAGCTTTTCCCTGTAATGGGATCTGCCTTGTGTCTCTTTCTCACTTTTGGCATTCCACATACTCCCAGTGAATGCCTCAGTTTATCAGAAGACAGCCTGCGAAGTTTGCAATTCAGTTTGCATTATACCTTAGCCATTCCGAGATGAGACTCTGGGTTTGGTTTTCAGAATCTCAGCTCTGTGGCTACTGAAAAATGATTTCGCTCAGGTCATGTCTAGGCTGTCGGGTCATTGAGACAGTGCTGGAGATGAGAGTTTGAAACCCTGCATCAGATCTGCCCTATACACTTCCTTATCTATTATTCAAATTAAAGCATGTGACACTTATGTGATAGGTCCTAGAAGACTAAGTATATCAATCGCTCTAGGATGACATAAAAGGCCCACCTTTTTCATTTCCATATTGCTTTGGGGTAGATTTGAAAGTGCTGAAACGGTATTCAGGATTTGAGTTGTTCAGTGAGGTCATGACGAGAGCTTGTTTCAATGTGATCACTTAAATTATTCGGTTGTACCAGTTCAGTAACCAATAGCTGATTTTGCTGATGTTCATGATGGTCCAGTCTTGCATGGTAACATAATCTAGCACAAGTTATTAATGCCGTGTAGTTTATCACCATACGCTGAATAATGATTGTGTTCTCAAAGCAAAGGAATCCTTTGGATTTTTTTTTGGACAGGTAGAATTATAGACGGTGCGAGAGAGAGAGACAGACAGAGAGAAAGGTCTTCCTTCCATTGATTCACTCCCCAGATGACTGCTACGGCCAAACTGCATTCAACCAAAGCTAGGAGTTAGGTGCATCTTTCTGATCTCCCTTGCGGGTGCAGGGGCAGAAGTGCTTGGGCCAACCTCCACTGCCCTCCTGGGCCACAGCAGAGAGCTGGACTGGAAGAGGAGAAGCTGGGACTAGAACCGGCACCCATATGGGATGCTGGCACCGCAGGTAGAGATTAAAAGTGAGGCACAGCACTGGCCCCCCTTTGGATTCTGACCTGCTGTTAGGCAGTCTACATTTTTTCTTCCTGCATAGAAACTTTGAGGCTTATCATTTTGTCTCCTCCTAGGACATTCTCCTACAACTTATTGATCTTGATGGCTATAGTCTCATTGCGGAGATCCTCACAAAGACAGCACACTCCATTACATCTGCACTCTCCTGTTGGTTTCCACTCACTTCTTTTTGTTTGTTGAAGAT